CCTATTGGTTAAAACAACCATAAATTGTGAACTGATAGGAGAACATCGCAGCCACCGCCAATGTACCTGTAAAGAAGTTCCTTGAGCTTCACTAGAAATATGAGGACAATTCTTTCTACACTCAAGGAATGATGTAAATAAGCGCCTTGCTTTAGAATAACTTAAACGCTGAGAAGCACCTTTTCGCACTTGAAAAGTTTTATGGTTGATATGAAACGGTGAGATTTAAAGTTCAAAAAGCTAGAATTCATCTAGAAAGAACTGTTGTCTATTACATAAGCATTGACCATATCCCACTCCTGACACCATTGTAGTGCATAGAACTTCAACTGAGAGGTTGAGAAGAATGGAAGTGAATGCCTTGAGCCGATTTCTTTGGTATCAGGATATTCGTTCCTCGATTGATAATCATGATCAACATGTAACGGTTACATTCTAGCAGTCACCCTGTTGAACGAAGTCCCAGTATTGGAACTGTAGTAAGCTTACGCTATATCACCAGCTCGCTGGAACAGGACACCATTTCTGTAAGCACTGTTCGCTCGCTTCCGAAGAAGAGACACAGATCTAAGATGAGCCTTGGTCAGGACAACTCCAGTGGATGATACCGTCACTTTCAACGCAGAAGCAATGTTCCGGAGGTTGGTACTTCTCGTCTTGCGACAAGATTCGAGTGAACCCACTAAACGTTCCTAATTGACTGCTTGTCTCAGTACATAGGTATGCTGATTCGAAGGATATAAAGAATTTCTCCCAGGTACTAATTTCACACTTTCTCCTTCACAGCCTGTACCGAATCTAAAACGCCAAATAGTGGACTGATACTTGAGTTTTCTGCAATTCTAGCACGCATCGTAACTTGGGCTCGTAGGAGAAGATCCAGCAGCATAACCAAAACGATGTTCCACCTTCAAAAAAATTCTTTAGCTGCTCGGGATTTGTGGAGAATNTATTGTATAACGAGTTGCTCCTAAAGGGTCCCATTGTTACCAGTATCTTTTACACCAATTACCTTCAGGAACTACGTTAGAGTAAAACATCGAGACGAGCTTTAGTTCGTACTCCACAATAATTCTGGGCCCCATATAAGTAAAGAAACCCTAAAAAATTGGAGCTGAAATGCGGTTTCGCGGCTCCCACTCAATTCAACGGATACATTGCTTCACTAAACCGCCCTCACTGCAACTTGTAACTTACTTCGACCGTGAGAGATCAATCGCCAGCTATAGGGGTAAGGAAAATTACTCAAAGTTGAAGATGTTGAAAGGAAGGTCAACGATTGCTTTGACTCCATTCTCCCCAGCTCTGGTAGAGAAGGATCGCTGGCCTGCTCCTTCAGTGGGAAAATCTTTGGTGATTATTATGTTGAACAAATTGAGCATGTGTAGGTTGATTGGAAAATGAAAGCAAAAATTCTAGTCTGACACTAGACAGCCACATTGAAAACACGCACTTGAGGATCACGTGTGGTCGTCATGAATTCTTCCAATGTCTTGCGTGCCATCTCCACCAAAGAATAGTGTGAAGCAACGGTAATCAATTTCTCGAGCAAAAATTGCGGTTTATGAGCGCGACTTTCGATCTGAAAAAGATGCCTTACAGTTAATAATGCTAATAATATACACACAATTTCCTAACAAGACTGTCTGATTTATGCAAAGTAATTAAAAAAAAGAAGATAACCTAACTTCCTTACAAAACTGTCTGATTTATGCAAAGAAATACGACAATTTCGACAAAATATGCCTCCTCATTGTGTTTATTGAAATAAGCTCAGCTGCATAAAAGCGTGGATCAAAAACTGTTCCATCGATATTTCAGGCTACCACAACGATGCGAAAAATCACGCTTTCACATTAATCATTACCTCTCGTCCAGTGAAAGCTCTTGGACCACGAGCATCCAGTGCTTCACTGAGATTCGTCAGGGGTAGAGATACAAACGTTTGCGGTCGCACCCACCGAGTACACTCTTGCGCAACCATCATTTCCCGAAGGGATCGATTCAAATAGGAACATCCTTCCTCTGGTAAATCTCCTTCCTGAAGCCATAACTTGAATTTTAAATTAAATAATGGAATAGAACAAAAAATCAATGAATAAATAATGGAACCTCGCAAGAAATTTGAGCGGAAGAAAAATAAGAGTGAAACAGCAGAAGTAAGAACGACGGAATAAAAGGGCAAACTTCCGCACAGCTTATCTCGCACGCTCCTTTGAGAAAAAAATCAAACTCACCCTGAATGGATGATACTTGAGTTCAACGCGAAGAAGGTAATCATTGTACAGACTGACGAGCAGTACTCCATCCCGGATTGTAGACAAACGATTTCGCATTTGAACAGCATCAGAGCATAGCTGAATTCAATCCCTACGATTTTACTCGACAGCTTGATAGTAAAAATTGAAAAAAAAGGAAGAGACAGGGGCCGTGATTCGTGCCCTTTGATCGCTCATATAATTAAAAATTGAACGGAGTAACTAGCTGCACGAAGATGAAGGTCCTCGAAATCAGCGGGGCCTATGCACTCAAACCTTGCTAACCTCCTCAATCTTCGTGTTTGATGATAGTTCTTGTAGTATCAAGTATTAAACTGATTCACAGCGAAATTCCAAGACGTTTTCCATCAAAAAATTCGTCAAAAAAGATCGGGCGCGATCAATCGCTTTTGGAAAGTCAGTATTCTGTTGTGCTATCAATTTTCTAGCCATGTCTGATACATGAGCGTTCTCCTTTTCAAAACTTTACAGTTTCACCTTCAAAAAAAGCATTTGAGATATTTCCACCTGTAGCTCTTAGGAGGAAAGCTGCCTTTTGTTGAAGCGAAGTGGAAAAGAAAACACTCACCGTGTTGAAAATATCTTTACATATCAGAGTTTCTTGAGCCCACTTGAGAGCATCGCTCCAATGGATGGATTCAATTTTGCTATCATCGATCTTCATATATTCAAATTGATGATCGTCCAAACTGGCGAACAAATCACGATTGGTGTAATCATCTTAAACGAATTTCTGGGAGTATTAGTTGTGAGGGATTCCATGAGAACGTAGTCTCACCTTTGACAATTGAGACAGACAATGTTGAACGACGTGTCAGGTCTCGAGGAACAGTCACCTTCAACGAAATTTATAACGCTTTATCAACACAGAGTGTTTACTCACATCTCAGACCATGGCGTACATAAAACATCGAAAACAAGGAATTCTTGCAAATATTCACCTGCAAAACCGTTGTATTCGCATCGATTGACGTTCCAGGAGGCAATGAAATTCTTGTTATATCGAACAGTTCTCGCGGATTGTACTTGGAGCCGACTGAAAAATCAGGTCTTTCGAACAGTGTTTGCAAGTAATCGCAATCGTCAAAGATTTTTTTCCAGAATGTTACTGAATTTGCTATGTAGAGATACCATAAGCCCGCTCCCCTTTCACTGCCTATTTTACCTTATAGTGGTCGAATCGTCTCCCAATATTAGGCACGTGCTCCTATGTGAATTCTGCTAAAGTTCAATTTGTGTCAAAAATCTGGTATGAAGCCGTTTCTAAGCAATTCTGCTTACGCCTACTTCGAGGGCCTCAAACCGGGAAAGGAACCGAAGTCAACTTCGATCGAGTTAATCAATTGCGATATCTTGGAATTTCTACTGCTGTGCGAACTCCCTTCGGATGCTGATCAGATAGAATACGAAAAGATAGAAGGCTTCCTTCCGAAGTCTCATCGTTCTCCTGTCTCAAGAGATAACTACACTTTCCATCACCAGAAACAGAATAGAAAGAAGACACTTAGCACTATACCATCTCCGCTCCGTGAATACTTGCAGCTGAGGACACACAAAAAATTCAAAACACCAAAGTTGAGGCTTCAAAGTAGAAATGATCATTTTGCAAAGGCCCCAGACAAAAATTAAACATAAGAACATTTTCTCTGCATTCATGCCTCTATTAGTGCGATTGTAAAAACTGTGAAACCATACATATACGGTAGCCAAGATCGCCGTAGATATGATCACCGGTTTTTCGAACCCTCCAGTACTCACGCATTTTCGTCAATTCCCTGAAACAAGTTTTTTTTTTTTTNTTTTTTTTTTTTCAAATACAAACAACATTTTGATTCTGAAGAACAAACTCACATAAAGAACTGACTCTTCTGCTGATGAACCTCATCTTCGACCTCGACGTTTCGTAATCTCTGTGCTAATTCAAGAACGCTCATCGCTTCCAACAACGCCTTAAAAAGCAATTCCGGAACTGCTTCTACGGTGTCGACGATAAACGTGAAAGCATGAACACAGTTAGATTTGATAAAGAATTGAGTGTGAGAGTTGTGTTTGAGAATAAAGTCTCTATTTGATGAGGAAATAATGAAATCGATTAATCCACCTTCCGTTTCCAAACCCACTGCGTGGCCTTACTTGCTGCGGCATTTTCGGATTGCATAGGTGCTGACTCTGCATGAATTGGATCGAGAATCGTCAACGGTTTCATGTAGTCGGTCGCCCGCATGATCGCAAGGTTGTCAAGGAGAACGTTGAATTGTTGCAGAGATTCACTGAAGCCATATCACGTTAACTACAACTTCTTGCCATTACAGTGTACTTCAGTGAACTCGAATCTAGCAGTATTTAGTTTTATCCACTATTGATTCGATAGAGAAAAAAGACAGACTGTTCTATTTACATGAAGAATGTTTTGGTCTCAGAATTAAACGATTCGGAAAATTTTCAATGTGGCGACTGCGCTGGCTTGTAGAGAGCACCTATGAATGCATCAAAAAAAGAGTGAACTCACTGTAAATACTTTGCGACACCGTGCCACGGTCCTGCTTCCGGGACAACGCGCTCCTCGAACTCAACAGGCTTTTTCTCGACGTTCTGTAAATTATGAGGACTTACAATAATTCAACTATTCAAACACATTCACACCAAGTGTTAAGGTCCTCTGTTTACCACGCACCCATCGGACGTTTCATTAACACAGCAAAAGTTATAGTGCCATTATTTCCATCTAATTCTATATATTCTGGTGTTTACTCGCACTTCATTCATCAAACCAAAAAGAGAAAATACATAGATAACCTGAGAAAAAAGATGGGAATCCCAAAGGAGGTTAAACAAAACCAGTCCAGCTCATATATCAGGCGCTACGATCACAAAAACTTGTCAAGGTGTAGAGTGTGCACGGCTGCGTTTTGCGAGCCCTTAAACGGGATTGCACAAAAAACTTGCAAGTCCCCCTTAGTTTTGTGGCAGTAGCCATTACAACTGACTGGTGGTCAAAAAAAAAAACGTTGGAGAGTAATTAGACCGAGTAAGTAACCACACTAACAAGTCAAATTAAACGTTCCTGAAATAAATACAAAGAAAAGAAATAATTCAAATTAAATTGCTGTCTCACCTCCACTTCCTCATTCTCACTCTTTATTGAGTTTGGGTTGTCATAAAGTGCGTCCGAACCTATCAACTTCTTCCAGTCCACTTGACGTGCCAGTTTACCAACATTATCAGAAAACGTAGGTGGCCTGAACGGAGCATTTTTATCAAAAGCCAAGTGCGAAAAACGACGTGTGCTTGTTCTACAAATCCGACCTCTTGAAGTATATGTAAGCCATTCCTTTTTATTGAAAAACATTTGGGACCGATAGCAAAAACAAGAGTGATAGAATGGTTTTAGGTCAAAAAAGGATGAGCAGAAGGTAATCCCGAAAACTGGATGACTTTGGAGTGACAGAATGGTCTCTTTTTCGCAATCTGCAGAGCATGTATAAAACATCCATTCAAGGCAAAAGAGACAATTCCTCCTTTCTGCAATACAGTTGGTCTGGAAACAGCAGTTTTCTACAGTTAAATACTGCTGCGTTAAAGTGAATGAACGTCTCAAAGAGGCCCATAACGAGTGGAGTGGCTGTAAAATTGATTTTGATGAAACTATAATGCCGGGTGTTACTGCCCCACCCTCATTGGTAACGCTTGCAATTTCGTTTCGAGAAATGTAGGAAACTCAAAACATTAGCGTGCAGGTCCAAACCAAAAATGAAGCCCAACACGCAACAGTTTCAACACACACAGTAAACAAAAGTTAATGAAAGCGAAGTCAAAGGGAGAAACAATCTGCACATACTTGATGTATTTTTCCACTCCGTCGTATCCGATCTCTTGTATCTTCCACTCATTGACTCCTTCAAGTGAAATGTCCGCACCCTTCCTTACTGCACCAGGTCCCCCGGTGAACGTGCTAGAACCAGATGAATACATCTGAAAAAAAAAACCAACTGCAGGAGTTCTGTTGGAACTTGACTCCTCTCCTGTGAACGGCTGTTTTCGACAAGTGCCATTTTAAGTGCGACCCCTTCACTACCCTCCATGGCTTCTACTGAACTAGCTTCTACTTAACTAGACAAGTTTGGCATGGGAGAGATATTGGAGAAAATCAACAGAAAACATCAGAGCTTATCAGATCATTATTCACAGGGGTGCGGGACGTGCACCGAAATGGGCGCTGCCAGACACAAAATTTCTCCATTTAATTTCTTCACAACCCGGGGGAAGAGACCAAGAAGACTCGTCTCTCAAGGAAACGGAACATGCTTCCTTGCTTGCTAAATACCCAAAGGCCATACCTATTACAGCCTGGAACTCTTAAAAAATTTCTGGAAATGAGCCAAGGTTTATAACAAGCAAAGCTCCTCTAACGATGGAGCGAGTACGCTCCTAAATAGACGTTGCTTTTCCTGACAAAGCACAAGGTTGCTTGAGACTGTCTGATTGCTTGAACTGAACTACATACTGCCTGCTTTTCGCCACAAAGTGAGTTTTATTCAAAGAAGCACTCGGAGAGGTCTAGTCAACGCTGGCATAGTTGAGTCTTAGACTACACGTGAACTAAACGTAGTTCCGTCTAGGGACATGCTCTGAATTGGAAAGCGTTCCTTCAAAATTTATAGCCCTGTTTAGAAACTGTCTACAGAGCGTAAGCGAGTGGATATGAGTCCTCAATGAGAAATTAAACGCTTGTGGTAAAGATGGGCGGAGCTAAGAGCAAAAACCACGACTATATCCCAAAGAACTTTGTATGGTACCAACACAGAAAAAAATGTGAAATGTTACCAGTAGGCGGGTCTGCACCGCAAGTCAAACGTTCCCACTGGGCGGACAGGTCTGTAACCCAATAGTCACAATTCTATCTCAAAACGTCCAAAGGAGAAGAGTTCATGGAGGTCGGAGCATCATGAAGCATGAGTTACCTCAACACCGTTTCACGACGACTGCTTTTTTTTCCTTTTGATTTCTTTTATCGACGCACGATGGTTGTCAGAACAAATTAAAGGGGGAGAAGTCAAATGCACGTTGCGAATGGGACGTTCAGACAGTGGGTGATGTTTCAAAACTAACTTCTGTAGTTGAATGAGTCCAGAAGTTTTTGAGTGATACAGCCAATTTACAGCTTATGCCACATGAACACTTCATAAAAGTCCATAACCGGATTCCGTTATAATATGGTAGTTTAGTGACAGCTGAATTGATGACCAAAGGAGAAAAGGTCACACTATCAGAAGTGTCCACATCAGAAGCCTAGAGCTATAGTAACAGACCGTAGGCTAGGCGTAGTAAGGTTCTGAGTTGTTGAATATTGAAAAGCGGGAAATCCAGTCAAGGCTAGTTTGGGTAAGTGAGAGGGCTTAACCTGAAGTTGAAACTGCGATTTCGTCTGGAACTGTCGCCCTTCGACTGATTGTAACTGAAAATAGAGACGCAGACGTCACGAAGCTAACCCCACTAAGTAATGATGAAGATCACCTTTGACTGATATGTATGTAATTTGCTACAGTCTTTCCAGGATTGTAAACTTTATAGGGCTAACGTTTCAGCGAGTTCGCCTTTGTCAGAGCCTAAAAAGTCGAAAAACCATTGAGACTGACTTTATAAATTTTTGGGCTCTGACGAAGGCGAACTCGCCGAAACGTTAGCCCTATAAAGTTTATAATCTTGGAAAGGCTGTAGCAAATTACATACATATCAGTCAAAGGTCATGCCAACATTGAAGAAAGTCGATCGTGGTATAGGTGAAAATGTAGTTGGGGGGTGTCAGCGCCTTTTGTGCTCTACGTCCCTGGCACTGGCGGCAGAGTACATACAGATCGCAGAGATCGATTCCTCCACTTCTAAAGGTTAGGGAAGGAGCTCCGGGGTGGGAGAGATGATTATCTCGTGCAAAAAGCTGGGATGGGATAAAAATTGAGCATCCAATTGGTTCACCCACCCCGACGCTCCTTCCCTAGCTTCTAGAAGGGGAGGAGCTCCGGGATGGGTGAGATGATTAGATGGAGTAAGACTGCAGATAACCCAGAGCTGAAAAAACCACCAAAAACATGTTTATGCTCAGCTTACCTTCTGATGACCAGAAAAACAATGAAGCATAAGAACCATAGGATAAACTCACAGATAAAGCACCAAACACGTGTTATTTGGAAAGGGTTCAGTATTTCTCTGTTGGATGTGTCCACCGAATGTCTTAAAATCAACTACTTCGATGAAGACTTTTATGAAGATAACACTCAGGTAACTGTGTTCAACATGCACAGCCTGCTTACAACGAAGAAAAACGCAAAGAAATTGGAATTAGAGAGAAGACCAACTCGCATGACATCATAATTGCCTATGAACTCCAACACGACAAAAACACACACAGTCAACTGAGCACTGTCACGCTGTGAATTCTACGTATGTTGTAGGCATAACACGTATGGAAATCAAGAAATCAGTTCTATAGGCGCCCCTTGCTTCCTATCGGACATAACATCTGGATCGTCACCTGCTAGGAATCATTTGAGATGACGCAAAACGATTTAACAACGCGCCATTATGTAACACGACGACCAAACGTAAAAAAAGATCAACAGAAGTAGCAACATATTACTCTTGCATATTCGATTTTTCTCTATACAAATAAATCGAGAACAAGAAATCAAAATCGGGTAAAAAAGATGACAGCGTCAGGCCCAAAAGTTGCGGGCCTAATGCATCGTATAGACATTTTCTTCACGAAGCTCGCAAACATCTCCGTGGAAGTCTACCTGAAACACAACACAAGACTTGGAACAACAACAGGTGAACCGACTGACCCAAGCCTAGCGATCACTATTTAGACCGACCCTCATTATTGAACGATCGAGCATACCATCGTAAGAAAAGACATTGACTACTTCTCTACATATATAATTCTTTGTAACTCATCCTGCTGTATTTAAGTGATCTTTCTCGAATCCTCACTTCACAGCAGATAGGTAGTTTAAGATTCCATGAAGTGAAACGTTTTTTTTTTCAGTTGAAAGAGTTAAATTTCGACTTCGCAGGATCATCGCAGACGTATCCCCTCGAGATTAAAAGAAGCACTCCCTTCTTCCATCAATAAAACGCTCACCTTTATTTTGAAGTCGAGATCGCGTTCGTTTCTTGCGTTTGGTGTAACGGAAAACGTGCCCGTGATTTCTTCACCTTTCTTCACAGTGAGTGCATCCTGAACAGAGGTAAATAATGACCACAAAACATGGCATACCAAACTTTGAAGAAATCAGTTCACCATAAGGTAGAAGACGGTTTGCTTCCAGTGCGTATATTGAACATCTGGACCAGTTGAGAACCCCGTTCTTTTATGACATTTCGAGAACTCGACAGTGAAGAACGTGACGAGGGCCTTAAGACTTGTTTTTCAACCTAATTATGACGAAAAATAAACAAGGAATGAAAGATTAATCCACAAACTTGTACGTAATCGTTCCTGGCACAACGCAATTGGAAGTCTGAAGTCCACGTCAGATCTTCAACTTTCACAGTGTATAGATCAATCTAAAAATACTGCTAATGGATCCGCTTTGGAAATCGTAGATCAGCTGTCGACAAATTACCTCTTTAATGCAATAATTGTTGGTTACAACTTGTGCATTGTCGACAACGTCAACGAGCGGCTCGGTAATAGCTACCTTCCGAATGGCGGACATATTGAACCCGTAAACGTTATCCCACCTGAAAGGAGCACCCGTANAAAAAAAAAAAAAAAAAAACACGGCGCCGTACAACAGTAGAAACCGACCAGTGGATTTTGTCTTCTTTGTATTGTCGATCCTCAATCGCACACAAATACAACTTTGCTTTGTCCGGGAATATCAATCCGCCTTCCTTCAACCATTTATCCCGCGCAAAGATCACTGTGTTCAGCATCGACTCGTAGAAGAGACAATAACCCATCCATTCCGATATAATTACATCTACCTTAAACAAAATTCTAATAATAAGGATCAGAATTATACTTTAACGATGGGAGAAGGACTACATCTGAAGAAAGCCATAGAATGTTCACTGCTGAGGTAAAAAGGAAGAAAAATGGAGTCCTACTGCGCACAAAACATTTGCAGGAGTTTCAGCGGACCCAAACCTCAGAAATAATATAGGCCCCGCTTATAAATTTTACGCTGCAGATCAACAAGCTGCAGAGCTTTTTTCTTTCTGAATCACGCCTGCTGATAAACCCATTCATTTTCATTTTAACCATAGCACTATTCAGTAATGTCTTTTAGAAAAAGGGTCATAAACTCCAAAAAAAAAAAACTCCGACTACTTCTCCCCAACCGCTGACTATTTGCTAAGGACTAACACGTTCTTAAACACTACAAATATGATCTCGAACCTTTTCACAGCCATCAGGAAGTTCGGTGACATCCTCAACTTTAGCTTGAATGACAGTAATGACATCTTCGAGGTTGTTATCTTTGATGATTTGACGAGACTGAGCGGCCATATTAGAGAACTCCATCTGAATAAGACGCCATTATTGAGGAAGTTTTTTGAAACAGACAAGAGTACATCACTTTTATTAGATTGAAAAGAAGTACAAAAAGGTGTTTTTGGAGTTATCATTCGGTCTGTTATTGGCATGATCCCAATGACCGAAACAGCATCTGGCTACCTTGTAACTTACTGTCACTACCTAAAAGCTTAGATACCGTTGATATTCGTTTCCAGGGTCAGACTCAACAACCAGGCTCCAACCGAGAATGTCCCCGATTGAAGAAAATGCTGCCAGTCTCATGAACTATTCAGAATGAGACAATCTTTATGGATTGTCATGCGCTGCTTGTCTCCATTCAGATGCCCTTGCTGTACAGCGTTGCCAACGTGAGTCCGGACTTGAAGAGCAAGACAACTGTTTGAGAACTACCACGTCATAACCAATCTCTGCTTTCTTTAGCAATATGCTTTAGTAGTATGCTAATTAAAATAGGTAGTGGTGTCACTAAAGTATGTATTGCGTAATGCATTAGCTTCAAATCGAAAGCATGAGTGCCTTTATTCCTTACGCTGAACCGCAAGACGATAGTCCATTTCATAGTAGTTCCACCTGATATTTATATGTAAGCTCACAACAAAGCTAAAAGATGTGACCATAAGACGAAGGGGAAGAAATGTAGAAACTCACAGCATAAACCTTCTTCGCTCCAGCACGAGCAGCAAACATAGAAAGAATACCAGTGCCGGATCCCACATCCATAACTATTCTATCCTTGAAGAGATGCTTGTTATGATATATCGAATTGCGATACGTGACCGTACGGACTTCATCTTTGAGCATTTCCTGAAAATTAGATGATGCAGCCAAAACCAAAATAAGAAAGCATAGAGTTTTTCAGGTTATGGCAGAATGACAGAATCAAACCTCATGAATTCCGAAATGAGCATAAGAGTCAAAATAATAGTCCTTGCTTGTCATTTCAGAAGGGGCTAGACGAGGAGGTTGAGAGGCGGTTGCGTTTTCAGCCATTTTGCCTTCAAAGAAACACATTCAAAACAAATCGGAGAAAGGACATTCCCCAAACCGTAAAAGACGAACACCACAGGAGCGTAGAATTTGCGAAAAGATCCTGTTTAACATTGAAATGTCGAAACTGGGGCTTAAAATATACAAAGAGAGAACAAATATGTGTAAGCGCTGAAATCGACAAGCAGGAAATTCAAAACATTTTCAAATGACCAAGATTTCCTCTCGCGACCGCAGCTGCAAAGATGAGAGAGGCCCTATAAAAAAACTGTGCTTCCTGTCGACGGCTGCACCGCGCTAGGGTTCATCCGAATTGGAGCATGAAATCTTCATATAATGCTGGTTACGGCAGTGGTGACCTAGGGACTTCAGGGTAGGCATCCGCAGTGGAATTGCATTTCTGCAGCGACTGTTCGATTTGAGTCGCAGTTGACACACCCATGGTAACAATAGTCGGTGTGTTTAGGCAGTCTGCCTTCATAACAATACTTTTAAGGCTGATTCCGACCAACCGAGCTACATATGTGTTGCTGTCCCACTAAATCCTGAGAGGTAAAAGTGAATGCCTGTCTTTGCTCAACGCCTAAGCACAGGCAGGTATCCATATGCAGTTATGAATTACATATGAATGCCTGTCTGTGCTTGGGCTTTAGAAACAGCCTACGCTTTAAGAAACAGCCTACACGATCGTATCCGATCATCTCAAGTTTAAGAGGTGATCGGATACGACCTTGTAGGCTGTTTCTTGGAGAAGTGAAAATCACACAATAGGTAGCTCAGTAATTAAAAAAAGTTGAACACAGCTGTTGACAGTACCTTTTCTGAGATCTTTTTTAGTGTGGTGTATTGGCAAAGGGCACACTCCTACACGTGCATTGTACGCAGTTCGAACCCCGGCTCGATACTCGCCCAGGCCAACCGAGCCTTCCATCTTTCCGGGGTCGGTTAATTGGTACCAGACTTGTCTGGGAGGATAAAGCACTGACTTGTACATCGGCTGACCACAGCAATTCATTGTATGGGCTACATGAGCATTCATTGGACCACTACGATTCTGAACGGAAGTCCTATGTAAGCGCGCATCCCAGGAAAGGGAGTGATTACTATCAAAAGCTTAAAGGCACAGATCACGATAATTTTGGGTGATCCAGATTATGATGAAAAATGGAAGACAAGATCGAAACTAGTGCGACTGAGGTTAAGAAACTGCGTGCATCGGT